AAAAAAAAAAAAAAAAGAAAGAAAGGAAAGGAAAGAATGAAGAGAGGGAGGGTAAGAGAAGGGGAGGAGGTGGGGAGAGAGAGAGAGGGGGGAACAAGGAAGGAACTAAAGATTAGGGTCTAGCCTGGATGAGGACATGGTCTTGGAAGCAGATGATTGAAGGTTCCAGGTGGGAGGAAGAGAGCAGGGAGGGGAAGGGTAGTCCGAGGCACCGCCAACTAGAAGGGTAGCAGCTCTTCCACAGGAATGTTGAGGATGACATCCATTTCTGGGGTGCACCTGTTAGGAAGCAGCAGAGAGGAGAGAGAGGAGTGTAAGAGGCCAAGCAGGGATGACAGAGTTGGGGAGCAGAAGGAGCACACCCTCAGGAGAGCCCTTCTCTTTAGGATACTGGTTCTTACTTGGGGAGCCCCATACCAAAACATAACTTGTGACCTTGCAGCCCAACTGTGTGCACACGCATGTAAGACAAAAAAATCAAAAATGGAAAAGGAACAGGTTTGGCAGGACTCATACTCCCCTAAAGAGATATGAGGTCAGGCGGGAGCAGAAACTCCGTCTCTGAAATGTCAAGATGCCTCAGGGATGAGCACTTTCTTTGGAGTCAGAACAGTTGGAAACTTTACTCTGTGTTACCCTGAGCAAGCTATTTCTCCTCTCTGAGCCTCACTCCTTCAGTTGACACTTATGTAACAGGCACCCACTATGTGCCAGGCATCAGGAAAGCCTCTGTTTCCAGAGTATGGCTAGACTAAGAGTTAGCTGCAAAAAGATCACTTACTTGGGTCTCCGAAGCAGGACATCCTCAAATATGATCTCTCGGTGTTCCCGGATCTGGGCTTGGAGGTGTTGCACCTGGGCCCTTAATAAGGGCATTTCCTCCGTAAACTGGTCAATAAACTGAGGAGAGAGGCACAACAGATGAGAAGTGAAAAGCCAAAGGGCAATATGGACAAGGAATAAAGACATCTAGGGGAATGGCATGGGCTTTTTCATGGGCCATCCTGGACTCCTGAGAGGAACATCCCGGTATAGGGCTGGCTAGCTCACATGTTAGTGACAACATTTGATGGTGCCGATAAAGGTGAGGGGAACGTGAAGAATGGTGGCAGTGTTGATAATGAGAATGGAGGCTGGTGGAGATGGTGAAGGCCACTCACACTGATAGGTGCAGGAGGAAGGTGCAAGATGAAAACTAATGGAAGAGGGTGGTGATAGTTAAGTTCATTTAACATTAATAATGGACAACAGTCAATGACAAGAACTATGGGGTGAAGACGGGGGGTAGTTACTGACAGTAAAATGGATGATGGATGAGCAGGTAATGCTTGATGATGTTGCCCATGGGTCATAACCAGTGATGTTGGTTAATGAGGGAAGCCCGCATTAACTCCCTTCTCAGATAAACAACAAGTGAAAGTAATGGCAACTTTACTTGGAAGGCTAATACCAGAGTTAGAGATTTCCTGAGTGCCAGATAAGGACAAACCTGACTTCCACAGGTCTTGGGGACAGCCCACCCCTCTGCTCCCTCACAGAGGTGCCATCACCTTCCTTGCCCACTCACATCTCTGAATTTGTCCATGTATTTCAGCATTTCCTGGTTATCCCGGGTGTTCCGTACAAGAACCTCCTGATGGGGATGCAGGACTTTCTATAGAAGAAGGAGAGGTAGGGGACCTGGAGATTGAGGACAAGGAAGAGAGCAGGGCTGGTGGGGTCCAGATGCCCACCACAGCAGCCTGACTACTCACCATGACCAGAGATTTCAGAAGGTCTTTTTTCTTCCTCTGAATCTTATCGGACAATGACTGCAGGACCATTTTGCGCATCTCACTAAGGTCGTCCAACTCATCCTAAGGGCCAGCAAGAGGGTGTTGGCCACCAGCCCTGCCTCGTGCATGGTCCAGGGGCACAGGGCGAGGGGCTCACCTACCTGCTGTCTGTCTCTCATCTGCTGGACCTGGCGCAGAAGGTTGGCAATCTGGACCAATCTGACCGGATACTCATGGTCCATGTAAGTGCTCAGGAAGTTCACTTCCTCATGGATCTTCTTGATCTTAGCATTCAGCTGCTCCACCTGCTGCTCCAGGTCTGGGGATGGGTCAGGAAGGTCAGGAGGGACAGAAAGCAGTACCTTCCTTCAAGGATCCCCCCAGGAGGCCTGAAGGCAAGGCTCTTCTTGGCCAATGGATTGGTGTCTGGGCTGAAGCGAGCTCATGGGCTGGGAGGCGGGGGAAAGTTAAGCCCCTAGAGAGTCTACCACCCCTGCAGGAGAAGAGGCAACACTGAACAGGAAAGAGAAACTAAACTGGGTACAAGATTCCTGGACTAGTACCAGCTCTGTCAAGACCCGTCACTCTCTGGATCTCAGCTTCCTTTCAAGCACACTCCCAGGAAAATGAAACCAGAGGGATGGGGCAGCACTGGTTCCCAAGACACGACCACAGCAGGATTAAGACAAAGTCTATTCTGCTTTCCTCCATGCAGAGGATCCCCAAGGTCTGAGGCTGCCTGACACACTGTCTCTCCCCTCAGAAGGGATACAGTGGGATGGGAGTAAGGAGACCTAGGCCCTGGCCCAGCCACTGACTCTCAGAGGGGCCTTAGCAGGAAATATAGCTAGGCTAGGATTCTGGCTCCTAGCTATGTAACCTTGGGCAGGCTACTTCACCTCCCTTAGCCTCAGTTTCCTCATCTTTAAAATGGGAGAATAGTCCTTGCTTCACAGGCAGTTGTAATGACTAAGTGAGAGTGTGCCCATAAAAATGCAGACACACTGGGCCTGGAAAGTGCTCGGTAAGTAAGCTACTAGCTCTGCACTTTATCAGTTCCATCTGCCTAAGAAGGGAGGTAAAAGGTGAATGCCCTGCAGTTGACCTCCCCAAAGGGCCAGGGGTGAGGGTCAAGGAGTCCACTCCAGAGATTCTTACAGTTTATCTGATATTCCTCCTTCTCCTCCCACTCCTGGAGCTCACGCTTCAATTCCTCCAGCCTCTTCTTGTTTGAGTACTCCAAAATCTGGATGACGTTCTGCATGAGGGTGGGGTCAG